TGTCTATGTTTTCGTTCTATCCGACCGTTTTGTTGTGGAGTACCTACACAAGAAGTTTGAACAAGAACACCCAAAGTGGCATAATATGACCGAAGGTCTTGATTGACAAATTCGGTGCCATTATCAGAACGAACAATTTTTATGGTTTTATGAAATTGGGTCTGTATCATGGAAAAAAATTGTTTCAAACAACTAGGTACTTCAGATTTATCAATGATCAAATAAGCCCAAACTGCACGAGAATGGTCATCGACAATAGTGAGAAAATAATGTGCACCAGTAGCTAAACAAGGGGTGTAGGGACCCCATAAATCACAATGAATTAGATCAAAAACACTTGTAGCTTTATTGGAACTAATAGGAAAAGAGCTACGAACTTGTTTGGATTGGAAACAAATTTCACATGATTGTAATAATTTAAGTTTAGAGCTACTGGCAGAAGGAATAAGAGACGACAAAACTTGAACAGATGGATGCCCCAAGCGTTTATGAAGGAGAGAAGGATCCACTTGGGTAGCAAATGCTGTAGAACAAGGACGAAACAGGAAAACTCTAATGTTAGTATATTCACTGACGAAATCATTTATGTTTTTTAATAAGTAATGGGAGAAAGACCAAAGTAAGACTAAACCATTGAAAATATACCAAAATAGGACTTCTATGTTTTTATTCTTGAAATAGGACTTACATTACCAAACATGATCATGTACATTACTAAAAAAGTATAAGTTGCACATGTACAGCCAAATTACCACAGTGCAAAATCCTTTTTTGGGAAAAAAATCATGAAAGTCTTATTTTGGTATTTTTCTCTATGTTTTAGTCCTATTTAGGATGGCTTCTAATAAGTAAGCACTTACTTGGCAATGTTGTTGCACCTCTATGTCAAGGGACTGATAGTTTTTGCAAAATTGAATTGCCTGAAATCAAATTAAGAGAAGTCGCTATAATAGATTACGATAATGGGCATGAAATTTGATATTGAAAAGCAATTTAGATAGTTATAGAAAACAACACATTAACATTATAAATTGATCCTTTTAATTTAACATTCTGTATAATACAAAATGTAATAGTTCTAGAGGCAAAACATGGAAAACAAGACATAATATTATAAATAAGAATCAAGATTGAGTATAATCCAGTGTCTCAAAAAAAACACAAATATATAAGGAAATAAAAGTAAGGATACTTGTCTTGATTAAACAGGTCAATGACCAGGGAGTTTGCATTTTTATGGTTGAAGAAGATGAGCACACTCCCTTGCATGAACCAAATTTTTATTTGAAGTTGATGGAAGGGCAGTAAGAAAGTCATAGATATAATTTGTTATACTATTATAATATCGTAATAAATTTTTAACATACAATTTGATAGTATTTAGAAGCACATTGTCATAAGCAATTTCTAGTATACAATTACATATAATTAGTAATGCTGCAAACCCAAAATCAAAACCCTGTCTTGATTTGCCAAAGGCCAAAACTCAGTGCCAAACCCAAAACTAAAATCTAAAAAGTAGCTGTGAATAGCATAATAAAAACGAAGATAGTAAACCCCAATTCCCTTAACTCAAAACCCGACTCAGAGTCTGACCCAAAACGTGAAGTAACCTGAAATTTTAAAATCCAAAGTCAAAACCCGTGGGGTCAACGCAAACTCAATTATAAGCAGTGAATATTTTTAGATTACTATTGATAATATAATCTGTGCATCAAGTTCAGTATGACCTTTGGGTATAGAAGCTTATCCTGATGAAAATGATATTTGCGTAGGGGCAGTACGAGTATAACCAATAATAGGAACGATTTGTGCTTCAGGGACATTAGAAGAAGGACACAGAGAAACCTTAGAAGCAAACTGTTGGAATGAAGGGTCACATTTAGGAGCAACCTGGTCTGATCGAACTTTCAGGAAAGAGGAGGCCGGGGTGTTAATATTCCTTACGTCACGTCTTATTGAATATGAAACATTCAGACCATTGTTCCAGTTTTAATGACTAGTTTGTTGCAAGAAGTACAGAAACACATCGCCCTATATGAAAACTAACGACAGTCATCTAAACTACTAAACGACCATATGTGAAAATTAAGAATAACATGTAACCTGGTTGAGCTTAGCAGTAAAATGAAGTTATTTTGAAATGAAACCAGGAAAATAATGAAGCGAAGAGCAGAAATACATACTTTTCACCCAATCGACCAGAAAATATCAATAGAAGACCTACCACCGACTCTTATTTCTTAGTCAATACCGCACATTTTATTGTATGAAGATCAAGTTTTTGTGATAGAATTTAGGATGGGGTATGGATCATTGGATTGAGTAATAAGACACTTGGGCTGAACCACATTAAAAAATTGAATCCAATCTATTAGTTAGTTCAACTCAAGAGCTTATATATCGATTTATTTTCACTACAAGTTCCGATGTGAGATAGACTCCAACATTTTGACTTACAACTAAATCTCCAAGATTATGATACTTAGAATCACTTTCCATGTAAAATTTTTTGTTAAAGTTGCAACAAATATAAGCTGCTTAATTTACCTCTATTCTACAATTTTCATGTAATGAATATGTTCACTCAAATAATTTCAAAATACACCAACGTTAGTAAGTAATGATGTTCTATCAAAAAACAACGACAAAAGCATTTGGCCAAACCTGGAATCCTGCAAGTCTAGCACGAGGGATCTAACTGTCCGGCCATTAACATTCTTGTTTGTCACATCTCCTTCACTGCAAAGTTGTTCAACAACATCTTCCGAAAAGACATTGTAAATCAACAGCACCACCCAAATTAAACCCCCTAAAACAAATGTAAAGATAGAAACCACAATCAGAACACTTGTGAGGATGTTGTTCTGGAACAGCGTTATGGCATCCTTCTCGAAATGAATCAAATTATAATAATGTTTTAGGGTTTGTGGACGTCCCTGAGTAACTACTCTTGCAATTCAGTTGGCATAGATTTGGAGCATCTAGTTGTTTTCAGAAAGGATAACGGTTTTAGGTGTCAACCACACCAAAAAATAGATATAGCAGATACCACCTTCGGTGAACACTGAACACATCTTGGGATAAATATGCCCAAAAATCGCTTTGATGCCAGGATGGATATAGGTACCCTATTGTATCAAACAAAACAAAACAGTTCATTGAAAATAAAGAAAAAGAAAATAATTTTACGCAATTAGTTCACACTATAAAGTTTATGTCATCACCCAATATGATTGGGGATGATGATGAGGAATCTATGTGTGAAAACATAGTATTGTCTTTGTTGGGTAAATTTTTTGTGTAGTTTCGGTTGTGTTTATAAGTTAGCATAATGTTGGTTTAAGTGAATGGAAGACATGAAGCAATGGTTATAGTTTGTATATACGAACATACAGTGCAAATCAAATTCTCACATGGTGTAGATATATATACATTTCAACAATGAAACGAGAAAGGTTAAAGAAATAGTAACCATATCGCAATGAGAAATTATAAGTGACTTGAAAAAAGAATGATTAAGGGCATCAAATATAGTTGGCCGCTACTAGGAATTTAATTGGCAAAATGTGTGTTGGTTTACATTCTTATAAGAACATGCCACATAATTAAAATGAAATCAAACATTTATTTAAATCTCGTAAGACTCAAATGTAGGATTGGGGTACTCTTTTGTAAATGTTTGGTTCACCCATACTTTGTTATCAAAGTTGGTATTTTGTATATAAAATTGTAAGATTGGTTTTTTTTTGACTAAACCAGTTATAAAACACACAAAAAAAACATGTTGACTGCTAATGCCTCTTTAACTAAAAAAATCTTGAACCTGTAAAACCAAAGGAAACATTTTACAATCCCATTCTACTCATATTTGAAAGCATTAGTTGTAGCAATGATTAAAAAATGACCAATGATATGTTTAGGTTAGCTCTAAAATTTAATTTCAGATCAAGAATGCAATATGCTCATAATTGAAAGCATTAGCTATAGACAATTAGACATGATAAGGCGAGATCTTACCCTATTAATCATGTGCCCAGCTTGTATCAAAGTTTCAGTCTAGTAGTACTATTTTCTCTATATACCTATATAAATATAAGTTAAACATGAAAATTAAGGTCCACACATACTGCTGAGAACCCAAACTGTCTTCACCTACTAAGTTGTTTGAGAATTGGGAAATACTTGAGAAGAAAACGTTCTACCAATGAAATTGAATCAACCAAATTCTCACCTTCAGTGGAATAAGCAAGAAACAAAGGATATTCCCCCAATTTAGTATGTTGGCATTTTGTCAAGGATTAACACAGCCCCCTTGAATTTCTGAACCCCCCAACCTGTGGAAGTCTAATAGTTCTCTCTGCCCTTCTCGGAAGTCTTAAAATATACTTAAGAAATATACAGCCACATTAGCATGTAAAGAAAAGAGGCTGCTAGACATTGACTTGTCTCGAAGTGGAAAGTTTTAGTCTATGGAATATGGAACAGAGTGCAACCTAAGAGTCAGCGGTAGTTAACTTAATTACCAGGACTTCCATGAGCTGATGTTTATGCTAAGGTTTCAAATTCTTGGGATCTCAAAGGCGCAGGACAAAGTATTGTAACTACAAGAACTTGTTGTTTCTCATTCAACTTCTTAACTAAATTGCTTATTTCAAACACTCAAAACCTTCTAGAATAGTTCCAATTTGAATGAAAATGAAAGACACAGTGCTTCTGTCGTAGAAGTTAGTAAAACATTTTCACCAGGGTACATTCTCACCTGAACCGCCCTATATATATATATATATATATATATATATATATATATATATATATATATATATATATAATTATTTATATATGTACTATAAATAATTTGACATTGTGTATTACTGACACTTTAAATAATCTCAAAAATAGTCTATTAGAACTTTTATATCTCATTATTATCTTTTGATTAAATAAAATAATGATTAATGATCTAAGAGGGTGTATTTAATTAGGATTGTGATGGATTATTTAATTAAAATTTTAAAAACTTAGGGACTGTTTGGCAACTTCTGAATGGGTAAGTACTGAACCAGTAAGAGGTCTGAACCATTAAGTGCTGAACCAGTAAGAGGTCTGAACCATTAAGAGCTAGTATATTGCTTAACTATTCAGAGGCAAATGTCTGATCAATTCAGATAAGAGGTCTTAACCATTCAGACTCTGTATAATACTTAACCATTCAGAGGCAAATCTCTTAACCATTCAGACATCTGAACCATTAAGTGCTGAACCAGTAAGAGGTCTGAACCATTAAGAGCTAGTATATTGCTTAACTATTCAGAGGCAAATGTCTGATCAATTCAGATAAGAGGTCTTAACCATTCAGACTCTGTATAATACTTAACCATTCAGAGGCAAATCTCTTAACCATTCAGACATCTGAACCATTAAGAGGCTGAAACAAACCGTCTGAACCATTAAGTGCTGAACCATTCAGACATCTGAACCATTAAGAGGCTGAAACAAACAGCCCCTTACTTAAAATCTAGATGTATACAGCTCAAAGAATATTGTACGCCTCCTCTGCGTATGATTCATGAGCGTTCATCGCCTCTCCCTCAACCCCTAGATCTACTTTTCGTCTCTCTCTCTCACTCCTTTCCCCAGCCTATTCAATCCCTACCTTCAACCCAGATTGCCGTAACATTACTTGGAGGCGGAGTTAACGGCAGATGTAGGGGACTCGACACAACCGAGAATTCCTTTACATTTCATTTCAATTCATGCATTTCAATTCCAAAATTTGAAATCTTGAATTTCAAATGACAAGGGGAGAACATGGATTTCAAATTAAACTTTGTTACGAATGAGAGAAGATTTTGATTCAAATCCAAATTCAAAATTTTTAAGTTTCCCAAACATGGAATTTGAGCCAAATCCGGATTTGAGAAGGAACAAAGGTCGAGTAATTACCAAGGGGAAACTTCTAGTCGCCGGCAAAGTTTCGATTCACTTGTGCATAAACAATTCAAAGGAAGTTGGACCCCTAGTAAGCAAAATTAGATTTGAAGGATTTGTTCGAAAATCAAGGTGCTCTGCATTTTTATCTTCAGTACTACTAAATTAATTTTCAATTTTTTGACTCTATTTAATTTTCCATTTAACTCTTCTTTTTTTTAATTAATTTTTTTTTCACATACTAAATTTAGTACTTTTGAACCTACATTATTAAAAATAGCTATATGCTTGCAGATTTTAGAAAAAGCTTGTTTAGTAATTATGTTTGTTTTAGCTATCACATAAAGAGTAGTAAAGTTTCATCTGGAATTATAGAGCTAATAGATTCTCGTGCAATGCACATACACAACACACAGACCTTAAATAAAATCTCATATTGAAATTCACACATCAAATCTTTTTTCAACTCATGTGTTGTGTCAATTATTTCACCTCCATGTTTGACACATTCTTTAGGCCAAACATACACCTGAAAATGCAAGCAATCATCTGGTGGTCTTGTTACCCTGAAATAAGAAGCCATGAAAAGCAGATTCTACCGTTCACATAACAAATGCAAGCAACGTTTTCCAGGCCAACATACACCTGAAAATGCAAGCAATGTTTTAACTAATTATCATTTATGATTTAATTATTTGAGAAAAAAAGATTCAAACCTGCTACCGTTCCCCTCGATTGTACGCCAAGTCAACAGTCCCAACACTTTCATGGCTAGATTTATATTCATAGATCAATCTAATCTTGAGTGTATAAATGCTTGGGGAATTGTTCATCAAACATCTCAGTAACAGTAGTCCTTTTACCAAGTGATAGCTTAAATTTGCTTGAAACAATGTGAGGCTTGTTATTTGATAGAACTGTCGGATTACTTATTTGATATAACTTCCCTTCTTTAAGTGTTGATCCAAGCAATTCTATTTCCTCCTTTTGATAGACTCCAAGGATATGGTTCCCTTGAAATTGTTTTTCAAATAATTAATATCTTTTTGAAAACTGATATCCTACACAAAAGTCTTTAAGAAAAGTACCTCATTGTCGTGAAAAATACACTCCCGCGCATAAACTTCTCCGGAATTTCTGTAGGATATCAAATCGTAGGAAGGAACTAATATTAATTTAAGATTGGCACAAAAGGTAGATGGTTTTAAATCCATCAATCTCGTCCAAAGGGCAGGCATTGTTCTGAAAAGTATAAGTATAAGGCTGGTTGTTAAAAAATCAGAATATTGAAGGAATTTTGGGGAATGGTGTGTAGTGTTATAGAGTGGAGTGGTATTTATACAGACAATGGAATGTGTTGGGTTCTTAGAAGTGACCTTGTTGGTCTACGTACTATGACTTGAATGGCATAATATATGCTGGTTTGCATTCTTAGAACTGACTTTGTTGGTCTTTAGCTCCTGTAATGGGTATTTGTTGTGTAGTACAATGACCATATTCCATGTATGTCTCGTAATTATGGGTTTTATCATTTTTTTGCAGCCATGGTGTATTACACCTATGGAGCTGGAATAGTTTTAGAAAATAGAGACTGTGATGCAATTTTTATACGTTTCTCTTAAGTGTGAAATTAAGGGAAAAAAATCGTATCTTATCTGGCTTGGTGGGTATCCAAAGCAGCCATGGCATTTTTATATCCTTTCCATTGTGATGAGAATATAAATAATGAAAATTCTGAGCCTTTTTTTAGCCCTCGTCGATTTCGACATCGAAAAGGAAAATCATGTAGCTCTAAATCTCTAATGAGGCTGTGACGATATCATTGTGTATTTACCAATGCTAACACCAAAGATTTAATGAAATGATTCGTATCTTGGCGAGCCAATCCGGAATTTTGAGACCATCGTTGCAGCCATGGCAATCATATCTTTTAGTTTAGCAATGGAAAACTATTTCGAGCCTCAACGATAATTATAATTCTTCTTTTTGTGTGGAAATTATAAACTTATTTTAAATTCGTAGAATTTGTGATATGTGATTTTCTTGGAGCCCATATCCGAGCCTCTTGAACACTTACATGGCAGAGGCTTTACTTTAATAATGCTGTCCAGCTATTACTTATCATGTGCTGGTACTTGATGGGATTCTGTTTGGCCTCTTGTGAGTGTAATAGAATCAGGGTAAATGTACCAAACTTGTAATACCCATTGGATTTTTACAAAATTGGTGTGAAAATTGGAACGAAATGAAGCTTAATAAATATTACAGAGGCAGTTTTTTTTATAGAGGCACTGATGATATCTTTGTGTACTTTTAAATGCCGATGGCGAGGCTACCCCGGAAATTGACACGATGGTTGCAGCCATGGCGATGTTATTGTTTTCCGGAAAATTATTCTGAGCCTCCAATAATTAATTGTTTATATTATAGAAATTATACACAATTTATACTATGTGTTATTTCTTTAATTTGTTTAAATTGAATGAAGAATTATGGTTTGCATTGTGTCAAAATCCGAGACTCGCGGACAATGAAATTTTGTGGAAGAGAAAATCCTTATCAGCGCTTTTGTACTTTTTCTGGCACACCATTCTGGTCGGGGCCTATTTATTGTATTAGAATTAAGGGTCATATTTAATAGATTTGTGCCATGTGTACCAAAACAGTATCTGCCATTGGATTGGAAAAATATGGCGGGAAAATTGGAATGGAATTGCTGCAAGATTTCTCATGGGCTTTTATATTTATATATATACTAGATTTTACCGGTGCGTTGCACCGTAAGTAATTTATTTCAAAGTGTAAATTATAAAAACTTCATTAAATTAAATGTCTGTATACAAACTTAAATATAGAATTAAACATATATAGATTCAACATGATATATACTTCGTCTATCCCATAAAAACTTAACTCGTTTTGATATTTGAAAAATTACGAAGTATTAAAAATAAAGAATAAATTCCATAAACAGTTCCTAATTAGTGATTTTCCATATTTAATATCCAATTATAAGATATTACATAAATGATCCTTAATTTTTGAAAATAATTTCATAATTAAAGTGTGTTAATAAAAATAATTAAAAAAACCACTTTAGAAAATAGTACAATTATACATTGGTAGTATTAAAATATGTATTTTTTAAATGTTATCGACTTGGTTACATTATACTCCGTAGTACTATCAATTTATAATATTAGAATATATATATTTCCTTCATTTAAAAAATGTTATGAAGCACTTATATTCAGTGAATATGAAAAAGGGTAAAGCATAGCATATCCCCAAGAGCATCTAATAATGTATGAATAACTCAAATGTATTTTTATTTCTCTTGGATAAATCTAATGTTGTATGTGTTAATGCTTCATTAATTTCCATGAAAACACATACATACACATACTTTATACATTTGAAAGTAAAGTAAAA